GGTGAAACGACTCATAAATTGAACAAGGGAATCCCACATGCAAAACCAGGCGTCTACTCCTCAGAGGAAGTGTTCAGAGCTCACCATCCGAACATGGAAGTCCCAGAGGCGGCCAAGAACGGATTCTCTATTGTCTTGAATCAAAATGATCACGAGTAATCTACGATTCAACCTATTTAGCAGATCCTCCCAATTTTTGCTCTTTTTTTTAATTATGATATGACACTACGATAACTACACCTACAAGGTGCTGAGGCTTTTAACTATTCTTATAAGAACAAATGCTGATATTTTATATGCATCTTTTTGTATTTCCCTTGTTCTATTAGTGTAGGAAGAATCAATGAACTTAGACAGTACCCACCACTCTTCCTTCACCTGGGAAACCTCCAGAAGCAGTTTCACCAGATTCAAGAGTCAGCGGTTCGAACAACGACACGTATTCACCTTGTTCTCTTAGATGTTTCGCGTCGACTTCTTTGTAATACGTGAATGCCGATGGAATCAAGTCGATCAACTTTTCGAGTTTTGACTCAATCCATTCAATAACTTTTGAAGGTGGTACCAACACATCCATGTACTTGAAGGAATACGCGTAGCCGACAACAACGGCGAATAGATGACCCATGAAACTGGATCCTGGCATTAGCAAGCCGACGAGAAGCACCAAGATCAAAGGGGTATATAGTGTAGGGATGGAGTACTGAGGCGTCACTCTAAACGTCGGTTTAATCAGCGATTCCTTGTATGCAAAGAATGTGATGAACGAGAAGAACCAGCCTGAGGAGCCCAGCACTTTAGTGTTGGGCCATAGATAGTAACCAAAGACACAGTATGGGATGGCAGTGAACACTGCAAACAGGTTAAGCATAACTCCGGTGTAAACAGTACCATGAGAACGTTCAAATTTCGACAATGGGGTCATCAGACCCAGGATGTTGAAGATGACATGGAGAATAGAGACGTGGCCCAACGGGTACAGCGAGATACGGTTAACTATGTATGGGTGTTAGACAGATGACATCAAACATCAGGGACGGATATACTCACGATCCAACGTAAACAGCGAGTCCGTGTTCAGAGCCAGCGCCTTGTTGATACCAAAGATACTGTTCATTATGAACATAAACACCAAAAAGACGCTCAGGCCCGCCGTCAGAGCCGGAGGGCTCCCGCCATTAGAGCGAAGAAAATGATCCTTGATGGATTCAAACGAGAATGACGACATTTGCTTCTGCTAATATGGTCAACAAGGCTGTTGCTATAGTTGTTGTTTGTTCATTTGTTTGTTGTTTGTTTGTTCGTTTGTTTGTGGTTTGTTGATGTTTGCCCGAAAGGTTAGGTAGGGTTACTGCTCTGTCCGCCATTCATTGCGGTTATATCAGAGGCCTACTTTCTGGAAGGCAGAAGTTGATTATATAATGGGCCTGATGGACCATGGACTCTATAACCAAACGGAGATGGAACAACATTTTAATGAATATCATTATCATAACATTACCACGGTTATACGGTGCTCTAGGAAGTTTACAATTTTGAGCCAGCAGCATGGCAACTCCTTACACGTTAAGAACCAAGGACCGAATCATTTCTTCTCCAGGATGAACTTGGTTATCTGATTCAACTTACTCAGTTCGTCTCTCTGTTTGGGTATTTCCTGTAGTATTGTTAGTCTATACAAGCACAGGGGAAGTGAAGAGACGGAAATATACGTACATCTCTGATCTCCTTTAAGGAATGAAGGGAATCTGCGTATTCCCTTGTCATTTCATCCAATTTCGGTCTTAGGCTTTGCACTTTATCCATATGTGCATCCAGTTCGGTATCCCTCGAGTCCTCCTCCTCCTCCAACGCTTCGATTTCCCTCTCTAAGGAGTGTAGCTTCTCCATCGAGCTGTTAAAGCTCTCTTCATAGCTTCTCTTTAAAGATTGTGGTTTTTCCCTACGAAGCTTCGTGAGTCTCATCGTCTCATCTTCAACCTCCTGGTACAGCTTCCTCACCTCCTCCTGTAGTGCAAAGTCAAAAGGCTCAACTTCTTTGCAGTTATAGTTAGTCATTGAGTCCCAGTAAACAAGACACCGCCAGTACGTACCGTTTGTTGGATTCTCAAGCATCGACCTTAGACTGACAGACCGATCCATGCCGTCAATCTCCATCCCATCTTTACTGCGTTCGAATATCTCGTAGATGAAATCATCAACCAGAGAGAAGACTTTACTCTTCAAGGCATCTTTATCGTCTGCGTTCGGCAAGTACAGATCCAACTTGTTCTTAGCCTCTTTCGACAGCGCCGCTTGTAGATGCTTAACGTCTGCCAATGCAAGTGCTACCTTCTGCTGCTCCATTTAACCCTTCTTCGCCCTCAAATCAAAGACAGAACAACTGGAAAGGTAAACATCACACGAAAGTCATCGTTTGTCTTTGGTTTGTTTACATTTTTGGCGTATACACCACCCGTTCTGAAATTTACGCTGCACACTGTGTAAACACCATATCAGAAACAACAGCCGCGAAAATTGCCTGTTATGGACAAAATTCATCACCAGCGAAAACAGCAGCCAAAACCAAAGGGGAAAACCCGTACAACAACACAAAAGAGAAGATTGGTTCTTCTTCTTCTTCTCGTTCAACTGTTTTGCTTTGCACTACTATACACCATTTGGGAAGTTAGAAATGTATGTTTGTAGTGCTATGAGCTGGTTTGGATGAACGGTACTAACGAGCGGGCTGTTGTGCCTTGAAACAGGTCGGAAGCTTCTGAATTGGCCCCAGGATTTGCTCCTTTCTTTGGCTTTGCAGGGTGAGTGTTCTTGAGCCCATTGGTTGGAAACGTACTGACAAAACACACGCGTGATAACAGATGTGCAGCTGCGATGGTTCTCTCATGTGCCGGGGCTGCGTATGGAACTGCAAAATCAGGTATAGGTATTGCCGGTATTGGTACTTTTAAGCCTGAACTCATCATGAAGTCTCTAATTCCAGTGGTTATGAGCGGTATCTTGGCTGTTTACGGGTTGGTTGTTTCTGTCCTGATCGCTGGTGGGCTATCGCCTACAGAGGAGTACACATTGTTCAACGGCTTCATGCATTTGGCCTGTGGATTGAGTGTTGGATTTGCATGTCTGGCTTCAGGTTATGCCATTGGTGTCGTTGGCGATGAGGGAGTGCGGAAGTTCATGCACCAGCCAAGGCTATTCGTTGGTATCGTGTTGATTCTCATCTTTGCAGAAGTGTTGGGATTGTACGGCATGATCATTGCTCTAATCTTGAACACAAAGGGCTCTGGTTGAGATATTTTATACATACAAGTCATGAACAAGAAGCACACCACCAAAAGGAATGAAAAAAGAGCTGGATTTATCTAGATATTGGGTTTGAAATCCCTTTGTAGCTTATACGATACAGATTCTTTAGTTTTATTATAGATGGGCAGTATACAAATCAGGCAGATGTATCCATTGCATCTTGATCTTCACGTTTACCACCGATGTTGACTTGACCTTGGTCGTCGATGTATTGCTCTGAAAACTCATTGACAAAGGCAACGGATCTTGCAGAGTCCAAGAACAAGAGATAACTTCTGTTCACGTCCTCCAAAGCAACTGCGTTGCTTCTTCTCTTTGTTGCCAACTGGTTAGAAACTGAAATCAAATTAGAAGCATAACGCAATGAAGTTTCTTGTCCAATCTTCGTCAAGAGATTCAAAGAATCTGTCTCCAAATCGACTTCCTCCTCTTGTGCCCTTATCGAAAGGATCTGTTTGATCTCATCTTCGTTATAAGGACTTGTTTGAATGATGATGGATCTATCCAAGAGGTCCAATGGTAGTCCATGTGGTGACTTGTACGTGGTTCCTCTTGTCTTGGTGACACCTCTATTTGTTGCCATTATCACAATTGGTGCAAATTCATCCTCCAAGGCCCTGTTTATAAAGGAAAACGATTCAATGTCCAACATGTGAACCTCATCGATGAACAGAACACCTGGAACAATCTCAGCTTTGCCTTCTTCCTTCCATTCTGCAACTTTTGTATTGATCTGTTCTCTAACCTCTGGTCTGATCTCACCTGTATCTCCAGAGAACAACGCTAAGAAACCTTGAGTTCTTGAATTTATAACGTCAATCTCGTGTAAGGATACCGTATGAACAACGGTTTTACGGGTCTGTAACTCACCTTCAGGACACTGAACGAACTTTGTATCAGGCCCCATGGCATCGTAGTCCCTTGAGCGAGCAAATGAACGACCCAGCTTGGTGATCTTACCACTTGATTTATCGATGGAGATGACATCTCCGGCGAGCACCTTTTCACTCGTCAACCCTTCAATCATCTTATTACCAAGTTCATAGATGGTTTCCATATCAGTGGTCTTTATGGTTAGCTTACCTTGCTTGTGACCCCCTGTGATTGATCTGTCAATTTGGATCTCAACAACTTCACCTTCGATAATCTCGGTTTCTTCCTTGATCTTCACACCGATCGACTTTCTAAAGGCCTGTGTCAAGGCCTCTGTCTTGCTCAGCTCAAGGGAAAAGATCTCAGAACCGGCAATTGCAGTGAAGGGAACGTCCTTACCCAGGGACTGGCTCAATCCCATAGCCAACGCAGTCTTACCGGTGGAAGGAGGCCCAGCAATCAAAACAGCACGACCTGCAATACTGCCGTTCTCAACCATCTTGAGGATGATACCTGCAGCCTTACGGGCCTTGAACTGGCCCACCAAACCTTGTGAAGGCTCTTGACGTGGCTGTAAGTTGTCATCCAAGCCTAGTCCCGAGATGTGAGAATGGGCAGCGATTAGGGACAATCCACTTGTATCTCTTGTGTTCGAGTTATCAACTGTTTGAATGGACTAGCAGAAAATGTTAGTGATGGTGAAAACACAGACTATCCAGTCATAACTTACCATGCTTCTTTTCAGCGTTCTGTTTTCCTCTTGTTAACTCCTATGCGGCAGATGCTTTGTTGATGTTGTTCAATTTTCAAATGTCTGTAAATTTTTAAGACATTTTTCCCCTTCTCGAACTCCTTCCTCGGATTTCCCTGGGACATCTTTCCACAAAAAGTCCCAGACAGGGTGGGATTTTGACCAAAGGGGACTAGGCGCCAAAGGACTGGACATTCAAGGGACTGGACGTTTAAGGACAATTCCACGGGACAGGACAAGGAGTGCTGATAGATTCTTTAAACAGAGAAGATGTCCTTTCTACTACAATGCTTGCCATGTTTTGATTCCCCAGCTGTTTTACGCATAAACAAGGCGCAGTTCAAGATCCTCAAGCTATTAGGAGAAGGTGGGTTCAGCTATGTCTACGAAGTCCAGGCTTCTTCTAACGGCGCCGCGTACGCGCTGAAGAAGATACGTTGTCCCTTTGGAGCTGAGAGTGTTAAAGTGGCGATGAAGGAGGTTTACAACTACAAGGAGTTCCATTCCCCATATATCATCCGTGCAGTGGATTCGAGCGTTGTTCAAGAGGAGGATGGGTCGAAAACGGTTTACATTCTTCTGCCCTACTTTGACAGCTCTTTACAAGATTTGATAAACAAGAATGTCATCGAGAATACGCATATGAGTGAAGAGGAAGCGACACGGATCTTCATAGGGATGTGTCGTGGAGTTCAGGCCATGCATAGACACCACGTCCAACAACAAGGGCCGTCTATGGATGATCCAATGGAGCTGGGGGAGAACACCGAGGCAGATGCCCTACTGGATACCTCGTCTACAAACGACAATTCCACCTTGAGCACCACGCCCCCCTTGGACGATGACGATGAGGACCACATCGAACTAACCGAGCTACAAGATACAGTGGCTTTTGCACATAAGGATATCAAGCCGGCTAATGTCATGATCTCGAAAGACGGCATGCCAGTGCTCTGCGACCTGGGCAGCTGCTCCAAAGCCAGAGTCAAAGTTAAGACTAGAAGCATGGCAGTTGCCTTGCAAGAACTAGCAGCTGAGCACTGCACGCTGCCTTATAGGGCCCCAGAGTTGTTAGATGTGAAGACCGGGTCCACCATCGACGAAAAGATCGATATATGGTCCCTGGGATGCACATTGTACGCGCTGATGTACGGCTCTTCGCCCTTTGAGAGGGAGGAGAACATAAGCGGCGGCAGCATCACCATGGCCATATCGAACAACAAGTACTCGTTCCCTAACGATGACGACTACATCTATTCCGACAAGCTAAAGGCCCTGGTGTCCATGTGTCTCGTGGTTGATCCAGTTGAAAGACCAAGCATAGAGCAAGTGCTGGCAAAGGCCTTGGAAGTACAAGGCTGACGTCTCTCTCGCCCTCTCTCACATAGATTACATAAAGCGCCTATCCAATACTTCACAAAGTTGTTTTCCCGTAGATTTTTAAAATCTCAAATTTCAAAAGGGAAAGGCAGCCACAATGCCACGTTGATGGAAACGTAAACATTGAGTGCTTCACCAGGGCGGCAAATGACCTCGTACCAGAACGTTTCAGAATCAGAGATCTCCGGCTACAACGACTGTCCGGTTGTCGAGTTCAACAAGTCTTCGAACGGCGGGAAGTCCAGAAGAAGAGTTGTGAGCGGCCATCAGTTCGCCAATTCTCCAAGCTCATCGACCGCGTCGCTGGCCTCTCTCAGTTCGTCGACGAGCTCTTCACTGACTCCTCCTATGGGACCGAGACCTGGTGGTTCTAAGAGAGTGCCTTCATCAGCAGCAGCTTCAGAGCCAACGAGCGTGATCTCCAAAGAGGCCGTTCAGGCGAAGTTGGATGAACTGTTCAGTTTAACTAGTTCGCTTCCTGAGCGTGAGCTGACACACTATAAGAATAAACTACAAGATGCCTTATCCCGAGGCACGATCAAACAGCAATGGTACTCTATAGTGGTTGAGAGCATCGACAACTATAAGGATACCGATCGTGTAAAGAATAAGCTTATCCAGTTTATGCTGCACAACGATGGAACCACTTCCTGGGGAACTCCCTTGAGGAAGCTATTGGAGAACGTCCAATAGCGCGTTACTTATTTAATTGTCACCAATACCACTAATTATTTAATAATACTGATATATACGCAGATATGATACACTCTACGACAACGACATCGATGGCTTTCCATGTATTTCTTTTGACTTGAATGACAGATTATTAGACCTTCTTTCTTCTTCCAACATGGGCTTGGAAACCGGTCTTGATGGAGGAGACAGATCTCGTTGAACCACAAGAGTTACAGACCAAGAAGAACAATCTATTCGAACTCTCCTTCTTCAACTGAGTGTTAATGGACTTACACGTCTTACAAGTGACGTACTCGATGATGTATCTTCTCAAAACGTTCTCCAACTGCTTTGGTTGGAAACGACCTTTGATGATCAATCTCTTTTGACCGTCAACAGAACCAGATGTACCCAACTCTGCAAATAAGTACTGAATAAGATGCTCTGGAGATCTTTGTAGCTTCTCTGCAATTTCCTGTACGTTGGCAAAAGCAGTTCTCTTGGAACCCTCACGTTGACAGATTGGGGGTGGGATTCTAAACTTGGTTCCACTTCTTTCACCGGCAAGCTCTGGGTTATTCTCCTTAAGGATGGTGAAAAATCTATCTAGCAGTTCTTCATACGAAAGTCCGTATTGGGTCTGTGTTGAAGGTTCAACGGAACTCTCACGTTCAACGTTGGTCTCATCCAATACACCAGCCTTTTCCAATTGCTTATCGAAATCATCAGCGGTGACAGCTTTCTTCTTCTTCTTCTTTAATTTCAACTCCCCCAATGCATCTGTGAGCTCATCAACTGGTGTTCCACTAGATTCATCGCCACCAACGTCCACTTTAGCTGGTTTCTTCTTCTTCTTTTTCAACCCAGAGAGAACATCGTCAACTTCAGGGGTGGTCTCGTTACCACTTTCTTCAACAGCCTTTGTTGGTTTCTTCTTCTTCTTCTTCAAAGTTGGGTCGAATCCCAAATCAACGTTCTCTTCAGCCATTTTGCGTAAGAGTTTGTTTGCCTTTTCAAATCAATTTGAGAAGAGTTGAATGAGTCCTTCGTGTTTTTTTTCTCTTCCTCTTCTGCCCGGTAAATTTTGTTCGATTTGGTGAAATTTTTTTTTTGCTTTGTGCAATGTTTTTCGTTTTCATTTTTCGCCAATGGCGCAAAACATATACAGGAGCGCTTTCCAAATTGGGACATCAACTACGCCAAAACCGACTTACAATGATACTTCTATGAGATCCCTATCATACTGCTATATATTGTGCTAGGGTTACACTCCCAAGTTCTGTTTGGCCCTTTCTTGCAAGAACTCCTCATTGGATTCAAGTTTATCCACTTGTTCTTGTGTGATTTGATCAATCTCCTCACCTTGTTTGACTTCAACTTCAGCGTTGGACACTTTGATGTCAACTTGGCCATCTTCCCCTACAGGCTCAACGTCAAATCTCTTCAAGAAATACGTTTCAACCTCTTCCTTACCATTGTTTTCTGCTTCGTATATAGCATCATGGCCGAATTTGTTCTTCTTGAAGGCGTCTGCCTCATATTCATCGCATAGGAGCTCCACTATTGGCAAATGTCCATTCAGCGAAGCCCAATGCAAAGCGGTGTTACCTTCAAAGTTCTCCACGCTGACCAACTCTTTAGCCTTATCAGACGGTAATAATGACAAAAGGTATTTGACAACCTCTAGATGGCCATTTGCAGAAGCCATATGCAACGGAGTATTCAAGGTCTCTGATTCTCTAATCTTAAGGAGCACGGCATTTGCATCAATTTCTGAAAAGATCTCTTGGAGGGTTTCTAAGTCACCATAACGAGCATCTTCGATTATTATATCGTATTCCTCCTGTGTCAGTTCTTGTGACATTGTCCTATCTTCCTCGAATGTTTAGTGATGGAAATGGTTCTGTAGAGGAGAGAGTATTAGTGTAGCCCAAAAAAAATTTTTTTTTCTTCACTATATAGTTTTCTCGCGATGAGCATTTATGTCCTACAACCTTTCCACTCTGTTGTAGTTGATCATGTATATCTGAGCAATTGGCGATATGTAGTTAGCGTAGTGGTGCTAGGAACTATGTATTTCAATTCTTTAACCATTGCATCAGCCTTTTCTGTTTCTGTTCCCTCTTTTTATTGTTATACTCTTTAACTTGTTTCTTTGTTACTCTGTGCTTTGGTCTAGTCTGCTGTGCTTCAATACTGTTAACCTGCCGTATAGCACTATTTAAATCCTTAGCAAACTGACTCTGTGACTTGGTGTCGTGGAAGTTTGCGATTTCAGAAAAGGGTTCTACCTCGTCAATGGATTGGTTTTCATACACAACGTCATCTGTATTGTTTCCTTCAAGTTCTCTCTTCAAAGACTCAACTCTCTTGTACTTTTCAAACGTTGATAACTTGGTGAACTCTGGATCCTCCTTCAACCTGTTTAGCGTCTTTGTATACTCATCCTGAGCTTCCTCTGGATCAGGTAGATCTGGTGGTTGGAACGTTGGAAGGTTTCGATTACACGGGTCATCTAATGGCACTCTTGGGTTGATCCATTGTCTAACCTTTGTGAACTTGTTGTAGAAGAAGAATCTTTCGGTGACCTGATCGAAATAGTGTTGCCACCCATCATCACCGTCTTTGCTCGCACTTTTGTTCACATTCTTCTTCTCATTCCTCTTCTCATTCTTCTTCTCCTGCTGGTGTCGTGGATTACGCTCAATCTCGGCCCTCTTTCTATTTGCTGGTTTGTTTTTGCCTCTTTGAGTAGACTTTCTGCTGGAAGCAGCTTCCGTAGAGGGAGGACCAGGGGGAGGACCAGGGGGAGGGCCAGGTGGCAACGGTGGGTTATCTTCCATCACTTCTCTACTAGCAGCATCGTGGGCCATATCTACTCCTTTCTTCTGCTTTGATTCACTCCGCAAGGCGAAATAATCCCCTAGGGAAAAAAGCACACTCGGTTTTTTCTCTCCCTGCACCGGCACCACTGATGGAATAGATAAGCTAAAATTGGGAGATGTTCCGAATCCAGTAGGGACATACCAACCTGTTGAGCCCAAAGAGCAGTCAAATACTCCCAAATCACAGGGGAAATAACATCGTTATCGTCACTACAAAGAACACACACACATCCAAGATAAAACACACAGATAAGCCCATCGTAACGGACAGAAAAAGAAACGACGGCTGTTCTCTCCGTAGTGTGTGTGCACACCTGCTTTGCGCGGTTTGAACCCACAGTTTCACACCCGAGAACTCCTTGAGATTGCGCCATCGGTGGTTCAAATTCTTCGTATATAAAAGGGATAGGGGGTTCGCAAGTTTGTAGTTTCCAACCTGTTGTAGTTTGACTGTTATTGTATACATCGTAAACAAGTTTTCAAGACCAACATGCTTTCACAAATCATCAAGACAAACACTGTTAGAGCTCTCAAGACCTCAGTCTCTATGCCACAGAGGGCTGCGTTGATTGCTTTCAAGAATGAGAGAGATTGCGACTGCACCTGTTCAAGAGTCCCGGTTGTTGCTAAGAAGCAGGGCGAGGAGTGTGGTAGCACCGGTTGCTCGTGTGATTAAGAGCGTTCAGCATCATGGTATTTATACAAATTTATTATATCTTGGGGATTTTTTAGAGAGACGACTGCTGGTCTCAACGGGTTAGTTCAATTTTCATCATGATGACATCTTTTCTGGGTCAAATGTATTTCAACGTGGTATAATCAAAGGAAATACAACGGAATGATATGAAAATATGTGTAGATTTAATCGTCTATTTACAAGGTTACCTCCTGAGCCTTAGGCAGAATAATATGTCTTTCTCATGTCGACAATCTTCTTACCACGGTCGAAGGACATCTCTTCGAGGGTCTTTTGCTTTGTGAGTGCCTCGACAAATCCCTTACAAACGTTCATTCCGTTTCTGGACTTGTAGATCTTACCACTGAGATCCTTGATACCGGCAACTTCACAGATCTCAAAGATGTAGTGGTTAACACGAAGACCAAAACCAGGCGATCCGGATCTCAAAAAGATCTTACAACCGTGGTAAACATAGTCAATATCACCAAGAATGGTACGATCCTCGTATCTTGGAACAAACTGTAAGTTCTTAACAGCGTTCCAGTGAGCTTTGGAAACCGCACGTGACATTTCAACACGGTCTTTACCTTCGCCGATACCAACCATACCGTTTCTATCACCAACAACAACAAGCGCGTAGTTGGTTGGAATCTTACCCTTTGCAGTCTGATTGGAGACTCTCTTCATGATCAGAGGACGTGACGCAAGACGTTCGATGTATCTCTCATCCAGCCCAGTCAAAGCGGCAAGGCCCTTCGAGACAGAACCCGTACCAGCATCCTCAAGGGTCGAGCCCTTTGGAATATCAACAGGAGATGGCTGCAATGGATAGTTATAGTCCAACTTCCATGGCTCATCAACTTTCAGAGTATCCCAGAATGGATGTCTCTTGGAGAAGTCATCGAGATACGGTGGGGCAAACTCCGTCTGTGCAATCTTTCTATCCTTATAGTGAGTTGGATCCACAAAGGTCTCCGCCAACTTGATACTCTCAACGAGCTCAGCTGGGTAGTACTTCTTCAAGAACTCCAAATGTTGATTCTTCTCCTCAGATGGTATCGACGATGAGTTGGAATTCGTTGGCGGTTGTGCTTGTAGACACGGACGGACCGTTGAGAACGAACGTATACTGCCACGTGTGGCGATACGAAGAGACGGAATCATGGCTTCGACAAATAGAACACTTCCGCCGTGTGGTTTCTCTTCCGTTGTTGATGTTGAAGCAAATTCTGCTTGTTCTGTGGACGTTTTCGTGGTTGAACTTTTTTCCTCGGATTTTCCAAGGGGTCGGAAGTTCAACTGTGCACGTGACTAATGTTCCCGGAAGTCTACGTGCTGCTTCTCCAGGACATTATGGTAACTACAGCAACGCAGAAAATCGTATACTTGCTCACCGCATACAGGCTCAAACGTCATCGAGATATATTTCAATTCTAACAGTTAATCACGCCCAGAGCACCGTGAGCACCCTCCATCCCTTCAGAGGACGCTCAGGTGGCTCTGGATTCTCTTCAACGTCCTTGAACAGTATCTCGAGCTGAACCTCTTCAGGTCTAAGAAATCTCGTTCTTTTCAACAGCTTCCAACCAATGTAGAGGACGATACTCATTGGTATGACGAAGTACGACGAGAATAGGCTCGAGATCAAGAAGTGGCCGTGGACAAAGTTCTTGAACCCACCTGTCAGAAGGAATAGCAAGGAAAAGAACCCCGATATCCACGCAGCATAAGGCGTAAATCTCCATGTATGAGGAAGACTTGATCTCGGAATCCCCTGGGCCTTCATGGCCCTGGTTAAAAAGATATGATTCGCAGAGATTAAGATCCAATCCCATAACAGTTTAGCAGACGTTAAGGATTGAAACCAGTTGAAAACATCTGCTGCAGACTCTGACATGTTCATATAGGCCAACGGCATGAATGCAGCAACAAATATGTTACCAACCCATGGAACTCCAGATCTCGTGGTCTTCAAAAAGATCTTTGGTGCTTGACCTTTCACTGCTAGTGCAAATAATAGCCTTGCACCTCCCATGAGGGCTAGATTACCGGCAGAAAACGCAGATGTTAAGACACCAGCGTTGATGATGTGAGGGAGCACATCTATACCTGCGTTCTTTATCGCAACGACAAAAGGAGATGAAGAAGCATTACCTGAACCATTTGCAATATGAGGGTCATCTGAGCGAATAATCAACGTAAGACAGAAAATAGTTACAATCATCAAGACGGAAACCCTGTAAAATACCCTTTTACAAGCAGTAAATATAGATCTTCTTGGATATTGAACCTCAGCTGCCAAATTTGGAACGCTTTGAACACCACCAAACGAATAGACAGTACCGGACAGTGCCTGCCAAAAGCCTGCAAATTTACCAAGTGATCCAGTGGTTAAGTACTCCTCAAATGGACCAGGGTCATCCCAATACTTAAATCCAATCTTTTTACCCTTGGGTCCACCTCCTGAGGTTATCACTATGGAGATAATGATCAGGCCAACGAGTAACAACATCTTAATAATGGCAAACGTGAATTCAATCTCACCGTAAACTCTTATCTTCAGGAAATTACACCCAACAATCAGTACAATGACTATACTGATCCACAAACCTTGAGATATATCGGTCCAGTACGTGATGATCAGGGCAGTTGCGCTGATTTCTCCAGGCATGATGGCACTCCAGATCCCTAACCAACCGTATACGAATCCTAATGCCGGATCAATAAACTGTTCCGCATGGCGTAGAGGAGCAGAGGTACATGGCATCAGAGCTGCACATTCAGCAATACACATTTGGTTCAATCCGACAACAATGGCAATGGTTGAATAGGCAATGAGACAGCCAACAGGGCCTGCAACAGCCAATACACCACCCGAGGATAGAAATATACCTGTACCGAATGTACCCACCAGGGCAATCATTCCAATATGACGTTGATCTAAACCGGCTTTCAACCTTGAACGATCTTGACCGAAAACCTCGTGAAGTTCAGCCGATTTCACAGAGGATATCTCCTGAACCTCTATATCTTCATCAAATGGTTTTGACAATGTCTTGGTGGTCACGTAGTTCAGATTGATATCCGAACCAGAGTTATCCGATGTTGGTTCATCAGTGGCTTGCAAATCGGTAGTCATCTTACTGGATACTGCGTACCATACCAATCATTTTTGGAGCTATCGAAAGAATAACTTGTCCTTTTATATATGATTAACGTCACTGTGAAAGTGGGGCCAGAGTATAACGGAGTGAGAGAGCCACTGCTATGGCTCTATCACAATGAAAAGAGGAACCGCATCAGCGTTCTATCACAAACAACCAATCTGTAACAACCACTCCGTTAATACTTCCAGATTGGGTATGAGCGAAGGAAAGAGATCAGCTCGATATGCACTGTGTATTATTATTTCAATTACCATTGCGACACAGTTGGTGGGCGAGTTTCCCTTTTAATACTGTGACACCATATTCAGCTGTGCCATAGTTTCACATGGACCAACTGTGTAAAGGGAACACACACATGCTTACACATTCAGAACGAGACGTTAAACCCTGGTGATAGGTCTCACAGTTCCAGTGGCATGAACAAGCTGATTCTCATATTGAAGCTAGGAGGTCACCGCAATGTGCTCCACTGGCTGCTCCAAAATCCGCTTATCAGCTTATCAGGAGCCCTGGAGAATCACCTCCATCCGGAGAAAGGTATGAAACGAGTAATCAGCTTCAGATACGCTATGGTGGGCCAAGTGATGCTGGCAACATTGACGGCTTCATTCCGTCTTTCAAGAAACGTTCTGACCCATATTATCACGACAGACAGCGATAGCGACAGCAACGATAATAATAACCAAGCCAGTATTGGCCGACAAGAAAGCAGTGCCGAACACACAGATGTGGCAAGTTGCGAATCTGATTCAAGGGTTTATTTCTTGTTTAAACCAGTCTGTGCGTTAAAGCACAACAGCATTGATAGGAGGTAAATCTCGTAACCGACCCACGCTTGAGGGATAGCCAGGTCTTTATCTCTGCCGTTGATGTTTGGATTCATAACCGGAGCCATTGTGTGTGTCTTCCACGGCAAATTGTTCCTCCAAGGAATATTTAGCAAGCGCCAGTGCTCTAAGGACGCTCTACTCCATTGGCCACTGTGGAAGTGCTGCAGACTCCATGATAATACCGGTTTACTGGGGTAATGAGGCCAGAGGCGTGTGCTTTATACGCGCAGAGAACGGTGTAAGAGCCTTCAGAGATTGGTGATGAAGGCAAATGGTCTCAAATGTCTTAGTCTTTACTGTGCTAGTCCAGCGTGAGCTTGTCCTAGTCTAACATGTCCTAGTCTAACAAGTCCAGTCTGAGATGTCCCCAAAATGTCCCGAAAAGGGCTTTTGTGTATCACATGCCAAATCCCCCGAGGCGAGGCACGCCAAAGCAAGCAGGCAAAAAACAGCAAACGGAGGAATTTCGCAAATAAACAAATCAAAAAGGACAACAGCAACAACAACAACATCAACAAGAACAGCGGCGCTTGCGGATAAACAACACCAACAGCAAGTGGACAAAGACACGAGAATGTCAAGAAGGGTAACGAGATCCATGAACAACACTGCCTCCTCCACCAACGACGCTGACAGGGCCCATTCTGTGGACTCTACAGTTCTAGAAGACGCTGATTCCGGTGATGAGATAACCATTCTACCACCAATCAGAAGAAGCTCGTCGATCTTCTCGTTGGACACTACGCCATTGGACCCACCTGACGATGAGGACTTTAAGAAGTTCACCTCTGACGAGTACCACTTCTCCTTGATTAGAAACATGCACTTGGCTGATCTGATCACCCTGATGAATGGGTTCTCTGGGTTTTACTCAATTGTGTCTTGCCTGAGATTCACATCCACGGGCCAGTCCCATTACGTCCAAAGGGCCCACCTCTTCATCTTCTTGGGGCTGTTCTTTGACTTCTTCGACGGTAGAGTGGCTAGACTAAGAAATAAGTCCTCCTTGATGGGCCAGGAGTTGGATTCATTGGCAGACCTGATCTCGTTTGGAGTGGCTCCTGCATCCGTGGCGTTCGCCATCGGATTCCAGTCCACAATTGACGTCTTGGTCTTGTCCTTCTTCGTTCTCTGCGGCTTGACAAGATTGGCCAGATTCAACGTCACGGTGACCCAGATTCCAAAGGACCTCACAGGTAAATCCAAATACTTTGAAGGCTTGCCAATCCCAACTTCTTTGGTCCAAGTTGGCTTGATGGCATACTTGGTACACAAGGAGTACGTTAACGACCAACTGCCATTTGGTACATGGCTGACGGGCTCTGTGCTGGAATTCCATCCCTTGGTGCTGGTATTTGCAATCCATGGTTGTATGTTTGTCTCAAAGTCCTTGAAGATTCCAAAACCATGAACCACTCTCTTGCATAACGTCACTACCACCTATATACGACATACAATTAAACTGAAAAAAAGAGAGAGACACTGGAATCAACGACTTTAACATTTCATTCCAGTTGTTACGTATATTCAGCCCTTTCAAAGTAAATATTTGTACTGCAAAATTGCTATAAATAAGTGAAATTTTGATTGTTCCTCCGCTAACATTTTGCTGCCCGATGGCTGATTTCAAACTGTAATTTTTATACACCACACTCACTAACAGCGACTAAGTATAAATACCCACAATTGAACTTTTCAGCAGTTCAAGCAACAACCATTTTCCACTAGAGAATTCGGATTATAAAAGATGAATTTGATGGAATACGATGGCGTACTCCCAAAGAACAACTATAACTCTCCTTATTATGCTGCGGTTCCCGCGGCGTCAGAGCCCACGGAGATTCTGAGCAAACGGTTCGAACTATGGAGACAGATCATCAAATCCTTGATTGGGTACCTGAAGGGCGTAAGCATTGCTAATACACAGTTTTCTATCATCAACAACAATCTGGTTGATACGATCCACTTCCCGTTCTTCACGTCACTGCAGAAGACAACGAAGAAGGGCGATGTCCATGAGATCAAGGACCCTAGTCCTGAGAATTTAAAGAAACAGAGCTTCTTTGCAAGCTTTGGGTCTGGTTCTGTCCAGGACGTGCAAATACTGCTTAAGAAGTACCATTTGAACCTGGCTCAACAACAGATGAAGATTGTTGAGCAATTGGAGACGAAGTTGATTCCAAGGTTGGAGGAGTTGCAGAAGGACTTGATGACGAAGATTAGGGAGATCAAGAGCTTAAACGGTGATTTCAAGAACAACATGGATACTGAGATTGCTATCTCCGGCCAGCTCTTGGATGAGTTCATGCTGTCTGTGAAGAAGTTGAAGAATGGCGATGAATCATCATTGCACAGCAAGACGGATCCTTTCTTGTTGAGATTGAAATTGGAATTACAGTTGAAACAACAGCTACACCAAGAAAACTATTTAGAGGAAGCATACATCAACTTACAGATTACCGGGCTAGAACTGGAAAAGATCATATACCAAGAGATTCAGAAGGCATTGCACGACTATTCAGAGTTAATATCACAGGAGATCTTTGTAATGTACAACGACTTGATCAATGAACTCCACGAGGGAATCATGACTCAGAAAGTGTTCTTTGAGTGGGATGATTTTATCCGCAGGGATAATGGTAAGAACCTGCTAAAGCTGAAACACGACGACGAAGTTCCAGTTCCTAGAAAGTTATCAACGATCAAGTATCCGTATAACAAAGACTTGATGGCAAAGACCATTAGAAGTGGCCACCTTTTGAAGAAGTCTAAGTTCTTGAAGAACTATACCAAGAGCTTTTTCATACTGACTTTGAACTATCTTCACGAGTTCAAGTCAAAGGACCTGTTTGAAAACATCCAGCCTATAAACTCTATAAAGCTCAACGACTGTATCTTGACCGAGTCCAACGACAACAAATTCCAATTACACGTTAACAACCCAAAGGCATTGAAGGCACACAACTTTGTGTTTAAGAGGATTCCCGAGGAGATGTCCGAATACGAGTTCAAGAAGTGGGTATTGGACTTGAAGGGGCTAACTTCGTTCAACAATTTCCGGGAACGGTGCCAGTTCTTGGAGAGAAAGTTGGGCACCGGTAGCATTTCAGGCTCCAATACACCAAATATTGAAGTTCCAAACCCAATGGATAATATGAATGTCCAACAGAAGTTACAGGAACTATCCGTGATGTCCAGTCAAGGCAAGCAGTCTGCAATGCCAACCATTCTGATGAGCAACAGTGGTGCTGGTTCCGGTTCAGGATCTGCACAATCATCATTGACCAACTCTCCAAAGCTGAAGCCAATTACCCAGCCCGCTATAAACACCATCCCAAGGGTTCCAAGCAGTGGCTCTTTAAAGAAAGACAAGGCCAAATTACACCTGACTCTACCAACCCCGGTGGTTCCGCAGTTGAGCGTTCAAACACCAACACCAGTAACAGCCAGCGTGCCGTTAAACGTGTTAACCGAGAGTCACGAGGAGGAGGATCAAGCACAAAGCTCTGACAAGCCCAAGCCACAAGGTCGTCATATCCATTTCGCACTGGACAACGGTTCTAGCAGCTCATTGGTTGCACCGGATAGATCAGTCACGCCAATGATTGGAGACCATGATCGGAACAGCGCTGCTGGCCAGGGACACAAGGTCCACCACATTGATCTGAGCGAGCCGTTGTATAACTCAGCAACATCCCCCATCTTCACGGTAAACAGCACCAGCGGTATAGACAACAGCACCAACGGCGAAGCGACAAAGGGGCTAGAGCAGGTTATCGAGGCCATGAAGGGTGAGAGCGCTTGACAGGCGACAGCACACGCTTACATAGCACACGCTTACATAGCACACGCTTACATAGCACACACGCAGTATACAAATGCACTATAAACGATATACAGAGACAGAACACAGTAATCGATGTAGATGAAAAGGTTATAATGTGCAAATAGGAAACAAGGCAATTTATCACGAGTCACCAGGAGTTCATGTGGGTGAGAGAATATTTGTGACACAAAACAGGAAACGTACTGGATACTTTAAGGTTTAACCCGCGCGCTTGGGTCAAGATTTTAAATTGCAGCGTTGCGGGTAAGTTTAGCCGGTGTGCCCCACAGACCAATAAATGTACGGCCAAATGCCACTGATGGAGGGGGGAGAAGCGGTGACGTTTCACGGCAGTCGGCGCTTAGACATTTGAACGCGCGCGCGTTACAGCTGTGGGTTCTTTCTCGCTCTAACCGCCATGGGATTTACCTTTTCTTCTCTTCCCCACTTTGGATTGCGTGTCGATGTTGCTGGACTCTTGGGCGCTGGCAGCTGAAACAGAAAACGACATGGAAAACGAAACGGAACGAAACTCAACAAAGTGGGTGAGCGCATTGATGTCGTTTAATGACTGCTGCAAATTGGAACTCAGGTCGGCCAAAGTATGTCTTGTCTTTGTTTGGCAAACGGTTAAACTGGGTGGTGGCAACATGACTCATAGTAAAGGTCATAAGGATGTACCAGATCGCTGACGCTCCATTGTCCGACGCGCTTGCCTACGTGCTACCAGTCACTGTCCGCTAGGCCGTTGACTCATCCTCTCATGGGGACCCTCACTCAGCGGGATATCGGAGGCCTGCGAAAAACACACATACACGCAGCAATACCGAACCAAAAAAAAAGAAACAACGAGTTTATCCGATGGGCGATGACGATTTCTTCGCTGTCGCATCAAACTTTTCCGAGAGTGAGAGGAAATACTAAAGAAAAAACGTTTTTGATGTGGGTAAATGCATAAAATAGGCGGCAATTTGAGTTTCCCTTATAAAGAGACGAATATAACCACAAAAACCAACTTCTCCTCAAGCGCAGAGAAAGATGTTGTAGACTTAAACAAGAGGGTTTACTTGATTCCACTCAACGATTAAAACAGAGAGGCCTTAGCCAGTTTCACGTTATTTATTCATTAACCGCACGCTTCACTCTCGTGGTCTGCTGTTCTACCTCTTTGGTACTCAATATACATCTATACACACCGGCCGCATTTATAGCAGCGGGAAGGAGGAAATGTCGATGAACGCAACGGACAAATTGGTGATAGTGATGGTTGGGCTCCCCGCCAGAGGGAAGTCGTACATCACAAAGAAGATTTCAAACTACTTGAACTGGTTGAACATTGAGAACAAAGTGTTCAACGTTGGGAATAAGAGACGGGTTGTGTGTGATGACAAGCACGATGCGTCGTTCTTCGACCCACATTGCGAGGCAAACGTGAAGATTAGGGACTTGTTGGCGATGAAAACACTCGATGAGGTTTTGGAGTGGATTAGCGGCGAGGGCCAAGTTGCCATATTTGATGCGACGAATTCCACGGTGGTGAGAAGACAAATGGTTGTCAACCACATCAACGAAAGAGCTTCGAGCCTTGGTATTGAAAACTATAACGTTTTGTTCTTGGAGAGCATCTGCAACGATGCGGAGCTCATTGAACAGAACATCCTGTTGAAATTGAACGGTCCAGATTACAGAGACAACAAAGACAAAATGGCATCGTTAAGAGACTTTAAACAACGGTTGTTGAACTACGAATCAGTCTATGAGACCGTTGCACAGGATGAGATCGTGCATTCAAACGTTTCATACTTGAAGATCATCAACGTTATCACAATCACAACTTTCAATATTCAAGGGTTCTTGCCGGTCATCTTGAACAATTTCTTGAATAACTTCAATCTCACGCAGAAGAAGATTTGGCTATCCTTAAGCCATTTTGAATATCACGAGATTGCCGAATTGGTTGACTCGAAGAACTTGACAATTTTCAGTTCTTCTCCTCATGCACAGCGAAAAATTCCATTGAATTGTACACTCGATCAGGTTCACGATTTGATCTTGGATATTGAGGCTTCGGAAGGTGATCTCTTGGTTCAAACCGCAGATGAATTGTTGATCAATGGTATCCTAAAGTATTTCTTGATCTTGGATGACTGTCATCCAGATTTGACCTCCCAGTTGGTTTGTATCCACCCTCACCATTACTCTGTTGGATTACAGAAATTTAACGTGCTGGAGATACCTGAAATGACACGTTCCAACTCTGCAATGTCTTCAACTACTTCTTGTATATATACACCAAAGGATGTTGATGAGTTGGACCTGACGGCATTCAACTACAAGAATCTAAACCTGTCCGATTTGCAGGCCAAGCTGGCTCAGTTACCACATCATGAATGATTTTGTTGCACCTGTTTTATTACTACTATGTCCCCCCCCCCATGTTATGACTTTGAAATGACCACGAACACAGGAAGAAGAAAAGAGGAGAAGAAGTATCTCTAGGTTTTTAAAATAATGTTATGAAGTTGATGATCTATAACCATACGTAGTTACATGTTCAACGGAATGGCGGCCTTTCATCCTTCTTGAATGCACTTCTCTGCCGACCTTCACTGGCCTTTGTAGATTTATATATTCCACCAGACGTCCCCATTGTGGTCCTTCTGTTGTTAACAGGTATCTTACTACCCTTTGGCTTTGTTGTTGTCGACGCTGTCGTTTTTGTAGAAGTCGTAGCAGTTGCCGTCGAAGGCTTATTTGTTGATACTATTCTGGACTTTTCTTTAGCATACGGAGGATG